CAAGGAACTGAGACATGTGCAGCCACTGAACTTGAAAGCACTAGACAGCTGTTTCCCATCCTACCAGTCTTTTCGAGAGACATCATCTTGAAATTAGAACAGAATCTTCTCAATCTGATGGACCATGCACCAAAAGTAGCCACTGGCATTTTATTTGCCCCCCTTAGTGTTTTATATATATTATATATATATATTTTGGAATTAGCTACTGATATTTAGTAATCTAGAGATTTTGGGTGCACACAAAAACAGATTTTGCTGGTCTGTAGAAGCAGAGAGATCCGTCCATATATGTCCTTAGGACAATAATCCACTGAAGCTGAGGGAGGCTACCCTCTTTAAGACATGTGGAGCCTAACCAGACAATCATATTTGCAAACCCCGAAAAAAATGCAACCAATTTATTTCACTTATGAAGAAAATAGAGTTCTAAAAAGCTGTCTGGCTGTCCTCACTTCATGGCAGTGTCAAAATCAGAAGCCAGGCGACCTGAACCCAGTCAATGACACCCACTGAGGCCTGCCATGTTTTCCTACGGAACTTGAACTTCAGGGGTGGCCCCCGCTTGTGGGCACCAAGAGGAGGAAGGACAAAGCTGAGAGTGGGGTCTTCCACCTTTGTGCCCACTGCCCTCCATGTCCCTTGCTGGGCCAGAATTGCTTAGGGCCTGTGCTCTACGGGCCGAAGCATCTGGGCTCCCCACAGCGCTGGACTGTGAGCAGACATGCTGCTTTGCCTTTTGTTAATGGCCTTTTCTCTACCTGCACTGGCAGTCAGGGACCATCGCCCCATGGGACGCTGACACAGGAGAAGAGATTACAGAGAGGTGACAGGAGGTCCGTGGGAACTCTGCACTCTGTTCCCGTTGGTCCTGAAATGTCACATGGCCATGCCACAGCCTTCGACACATAGCTTTTTAAAAAGTACAGGCTCTGTCCAGATCGACACGGTTTTTACACGGGGGTGCCCTGGGCAGGCCATGATCCCTCAAGTGTGTGAATGCTGATCTGTAAAAAAAGCTTTAAAATCTTGAGCTTACATGAATGTACACACAGAGCATCATTATGCTCAGGTCCTCAAATATCTCACCTGAAACTCTCAGGTGCATGCGTGGTCCTCCTCACATCTGACAGATGCCAATGATAAGACCGCAGTCTGTGGGAATTATGACAGGCGACGCATGCAGAAGGAAATGGTCACAAGTCATTTGCAGACCACTCTCGGCAAAGGTAGGAGGGAGAAAACATCAAGGCTGATTTACATGCAGGTGAGGAGAGTGCAGGTGGTGACTGAGCAGGGCAGGAGATGGCAGATTTGACTCTCAGATGTACAAACGCACAGCCTGGGAGCAAGTGCTCCACGGCACTTGCTCCACGGCTTCAGTCCACGGCAGCTGAAGCCACAGAACCTCCCAAGGCCTGTGTAGCCTGTGGGGCCCTGGGACAGCTGCTCTGTTTCCATGAGGGAGATGACTGCCGGGAACCAGCAAGCAGAGGCAAATTCTTGAGGGCTCCCTCTGCACTGTGCTTGTAAGATCCCCTTGAGTCCGTGTCGGACATAAATTAGTGTGTTATATAGCCCAGTTCCCAAATCTACCCACCACCCATCCCCAAGCCACACATCTGTTCTGTACAGTCTCCTGGGAACATAAATGAAGTATCAGGCAGTTGGCTCTGGCCAGGCGGGATTTGTCTGTTTCCCCTCAAGTTAAGATTTACCTTCAATGAGGCAGAAGAGGCTTTTCTAGATGCACCGAGGCCTCAATACTTTTCCCACTCACTGAATATACAGCAACCGCATTTTCTCAGAACTAAATAATAAAGACAGTAACTCTATGGGTACCTTTTGTCTTTTTTTTTTTTTTTTTTTGAGTCTAGGTCTCACTGTTTTCCAGGCTGGGGTGCAGTTGGCAGGATCACGGCTCACCACAGTCTTGAAGTCCTGGGCTCAGGCAATCCTTCCACCTCAGCCTCTCAAGTAGCTGGGACTACAGGCATGTGACACCACGCCAGGCTAATTATTTTTAGTTTTTTATTTTTGTAGTGAGGAGGTCTTGCTATGTTGCCTAGACTGGTCTTGAACTCCTTGGCTCAAGCGAACCTCCTGCCTTGGCTTCCCAAAGTGCTGGAATTTATAGGCATGAGCCACACCTGGCTCTTTACTGGCGGGGTGGCTTTGTAAATGTGATTATTTTTCCCTCTTAACCCTCAGCTCCCTCAGACGCTGGGGCTGTTCTTCTTCTCAACTTTATTAAGAGAGAATTCAGTAAAAAGGCTTGACTCTAGATAACAACAGCAGCAACAACAACAAAAACTAAAGTGCAGAGAGGAAAGCAACTCATCTCTTACTCATTTGGGGATATAACGAAACCTGGCTTAGGGCTTGCGAAACAGGCATGAACATGTTGAGAGCCTAGCTGAGTGTTAAGTCAGATTGAGTGGAGGAACCAGGAAAGCCTTGGCAAAACCTTTGTAATTGCTTTGTCACTAGTAAGCAGGACTCCTTTACCTACATTCAGTGAACCTGGACTAATCATTTGGTTCCAGGTAAGTCTCTCTCAGAAGTGGGTCTTCTAACAAAGAAAAGACCAAATCCTCATCTAGCACTGGACATGTAATCTAAAATCACGCAGGGTTTTTGGCCAGGTCCTCATGGAGAAATCCCAACAGTGGTAAGAAAATGCCAGGCTCCCCAGCATGGCAGCAGAGTGATTTGCAGAAAAGTGGCTCTGAAAAACTGTTCAGAAAGATGTGGTCAGCATGTTCCCTAACTCTCACATGCAGGCTTAACAAGTTGGTCAGTTCTTCATCTTCCTTCTCCTTGAGGCTGCTGCTCCCTTGGCCCTCAAGGCCAGAGTCTTATTAGGGGCTTCACAGAATGAAGCCTCTCTCTCCTTTGCTATGGTTTTTCATTTTACGTTTCTCTTTCAGAGTTAACACTCACTATAGGGTGGGGTGAGCGCCTACAGAGCTAACATTCCAGCAGATAATAACTATAAACTCTCAGCAAAACACAAAAAAACCACCAGAAGGGACTGGAGACTGAACAAAAACGCAGGCATATTCTAGAGAGAGGTTGAAACTTAAAAGAAGAGACTACCCATGGTGAGTTTCCCATTTTTCATGGCTGTTAGGCTGAAACAAAACTGGTCTTTCTGGTGGGAGAATCAGAGGAAACCATGGAATCAGAGCAACAGCTGCTGGAAAGCGAGGGGGAACATTTCAGAAGAAAGGGAGCCAAATTCTGTGCATTAAACTATACACATCTCTGGCTGACTTCTGAACAGTGTGTGGGACAGACTCCAGCTAAAGATAAGAGAACTGAATTGAGATGTTCAGTTGAGCTGTTGCTCAAGACATAGTTAACAATTTGAATCTAATAAAATTAAATACCTGCTAACATGAGCAAAGAACAAAAAAAGAAATCAGCACTTTTCAGAGGAAGATAACAGACTCCACAACGTAAACAATTACGATGTTCAGGACACAATCTAAAATTATTTGGGCAACCCCCTCAGGTGGGAGCTTTTCTTTCCTCTCAATAAATCCCACTTTCTAAAAAAAAAAAAAAAAAAAAATTACTCAACACGCGAAGGATCAAAAAAACAGAACAACAACAACAAAAAACCCAAATCTGGCTCATTCTCTGTATACAATGGAGACCAAGGCCAATTCTGAGATTATTCAGATGTTGGATTTACTAGACAATAACTTTAAAGCAGTTATTGTAACTAAGTTTAATGAAGTAAAACATGCTTGTAGTGAATAAAAAAAGAAAAATCTTGGCAGAGAAATATAAAGAATTAAATAGAAATTCTACAACTGAAATCAAAAATTAAGTCTGCCTCCATATGGGAAATAATTTATTTCTTTCCTACTTCTGTTTTTTGGTCCTGTCACCTCTGGAACTGGGTTGATTTAGAATGAAGAGAGACTGATTTACCTCCGACATACCAGCATTTTCATTTAGTGAGGATGTGAAGGCCAGGGCTGACTGAGTTTTCCCCTCCTAGGATCCCTGACATTTAACCCCAGACCTGATACTGGTAGAACTCCTGACAGCATCTGCTGGCAGTAGGCTGCATACAGACAGGGACTATTTCTATGAGGAGAAATGTGATGGTCAGAGAGAGTGCGCATCCAAGTCTCCTGAAGTGATTCTAACATGGAACTGCGAAAAGGAAGTATTTGGAAGAGACCATCCCAAGTTTATTTAGAGTCTCACATTGGTCCCTCTCTATCTTCAGGGATAGAGTCAGTGTCCCAACTCCAAAGATTCCTGGTACTCTCAAATGCAGGATATGACAGGGCCCATCTCACAAAAAGCAATTAATAGCCACAATAAGAAAGATTACCAAACAAACCTGAAATGGCTAGGTTTAGCGGTGATAGCCCTTTTGCAGGTAAGGAGTATAATTCCTTTTTTTTTGTTTCCTCCTGAGCCGGGGTCTCACTCTGTTCCCCAGGCTGGTATGCAGTGGGACAACTATGGCTCACTACAGCCTCGACCTTCTGGGCTCAGGAGATCCTCCTGCCTCAGCCTCCCAAGTAGCTAGGACTACAGCCACACACCACCACAACCAGTTACTTTTTGGATTTTTTTGTAGAGATGAGATCTTGCTGTGTGTCCAGGTTGGTCTCAAACTCCTGGGCTCAGGCAATTCTCCTGCCTTGACCTCCCAAAGTGTTGGGATTACAGGTGTGAGCCACCACCCTCAGCATGATTATTTCTTCAATTAAAACAAAGTCCAAAATAAGAGAATGAAATCGCCCAAAGAGTGTCCTTAGCAACTTTGTAGTATGTACCAACCAAAATCAGTTTTCAGTATTAAAATGGACTAATGTCTGTGTTAAGAAATGAATGGTTACTATATCAAAAACAGGAAAAACAAAATAAAAAAGCTAGAAAAACTATAAGCACCTCTTTTTATCATAGTTCTTCAACTGTAAAGCTGATCACTACATCATCCAATGATATAAAATTCTAGAAACTTTACAAAATTCCTTTTTAAAATTTATTTTTTGTTATCAAAGAGAATGTCCAGAAACATTGAGTACTAAAGAATTTGTTCATGGCATTGTTTTACAAAAGTTTCTAATGGAGAGTGAATATTTTATTTTCTGAAGTAGCCTTCACTTATTAATAAGTGGATGAACAGATGCATTTACTTAAAAAACAAAACAAAACAAAATCCCAGACAACCTTATAAAGGAAAAAACATCCATTCTCATTCTGAATCTGTTGATTGAAGTGAATTCAGTGGTCACATGACCACCACCAACTAAGAATCAACGTCCCCACAGTGGGCGCTGTTCAGGCCTTCTCGATAGGTCGTACAGGTCTCTCAGGTATAGGCACCATGTTTAAAGTCTCACACAAAATGTCCGTGTCACTTAAATTACACAATGTGGCAGTGTTTGTTTTATGGGGGACATATTGAAAGGGGCAAAGTAGAAAACAACCTGCTTGCATGTTATATGTGAGTACGTTATTGTCCTGTGCATGGGTCTGAGGGCATTGCTGCCCTTGTTAAAGAGAAGTTCCACCAATGAGGCCTCTGGGAGGTCCCAGCTCTTCTTGGTGTGAGGAGTCTACCCACACCCACACACCACGCTCTGTCAGGTCAGGGCTTCTTTCTGCTGTTTGGCTCAGATGGTCTGAACTGTGTTTGGCTGCCTGTCTCTTCATCTGAGCTCTACTTCTCAGCCTCGGGATACGTGGGGTACTTGACCGTTTCTATCTTCTCTCGGACCTTGTAGGAGGGATACAGTCCCGTCCTTCCCAGTTTTCTGTTGACCCCTTTCGAATAGCCATCCCAGTGATTTCCAGCCACACCAATGATATCTCCAGGTTCCATGGGGATTTCATCTGCAGTTCGAGGCTGGTGAGGATAAATGGCAATCTGATTGTGGGCATTCTGGCCCCCAAAATAGTAGATGTCATCTAGAGAATGGAAGTTAGCAGAGGCATCAGGATGCAGTGTTTGCATGATTTCATAAGCAACTCGACAGACCTTGGGAAAGAATGAAAAGCAAATTGTTAGTATGTAAGAGCTATCCCTCATGACAATCTAAAAGCTCTTGGCTGAGGAGATGGGCTCCAGGCCTGGGAGGAGTAGGTTTTAGTTGCAGGCTTTCAGTCCATTTGCTCTCAGAAGATGGTCCAAATCATTCTTCTTTTCTGTGCTTGGATCCTTATATATTTATTTTTAAAAATAAAAAATACCTCAAAAGATTATTATAATTAAGATCTCCACATACAGTATGAATCAATTACTTAATTTTAACAAACATTTGTTAAGAGTCACATAGTGGTCCAGGCTAGACAATAGCGATACAAAAATGAATAAGACACAGTTTGTGACCTTGAAGAATCTGAGGGTTAGAATTAGAATTGCAAACTTAACACAGATGCTGTTGGTCCCTTTCCTTCATTCACGTTGATCAATCACATACCCACTGCAGCTAACTTAGTCTCAGAACTCTTCTTAAAAGAGACTCATGTAATTACTGACCATCAACTGGCACTGGCAAGTGAGCTACACACGTCTGTCATTTCTGTTCTAAAAAGGCTTACGTGTGCTGTGTAGAGAGTGGCATGTGTGTACTGACATCACCTGGACTAGACTTTGGGAAGATGCATCGACCCGCCTACTGTAGTTTTAAGGCTACTTAAAAGCTCCCTCTGTCCAAAGAACACCTTTCTGTCCACTGGATAGCAGGTGAAATTCCATCATCTGAGCTTCAGTCCTTGCACTTAATGCTTCGTGATAAGGTTAAAGTACAACTATCTCTGTGGAGTGATATCATTTGAAGCGATTAATAAATAGATTCATTATGGAATAAATGGGCTTCTGAATCTTTTCTAAGACCAGGTAAAGACAAAGAGAGAATATTATCATTTTGCTTAGAGAATACTTCCTTTATATGCTGTGAAGAGAGAACTCAACTCAGACCAAATTTTCCTAAATTTCTACTTGTGGTCTTCTTAGTTAATAAAGTTTTATTGTCACTATAGCAATACTTTTTGCATTTATTTAAAATGACACTACTAATAGCAATTGTTAATCTACTCGGAACAATTTAGGATTACCTAGTCTTTTAAAACACTGGCATTTATGAAGATCAAAAACCGAATGGAGATGCTTATTCTTAACTGTTATCAGATGGACTCTGTTGGGTTGATCACCTCAACTTATTAGAGAATCTGAATTTCAGAGACTTGAGAGGCAATTCTCTAATGCTATATGTAATCTGCAATTGAAACTAAGTTTAGGCAGTATTTTTAATTTTGCAGGTAGGCAACTAAAATAAAAGGGGATAAAGTTATTTGCCCAAATTTTAGTGTTAGAATTTCAAGTAGATAAAGAATGAAAATAATAAAAACTTTGCTTTCAAGTATGTCACTTTACCAACAAACTAAGTTTATTTAGGAAATGTCATGTTACAATTGAGATCACTGGTAGAATACTGAAACTATAATAAACTAGGGATCAAAAAGATTCAGAACTTTCAGATTTCAAATTCAACCAAAGGCTCACACAGGGCAAGCAGAATTAAGTGAGGGACTCAGGAAAAGAAGAAACTAAATAATTCAAACAAAGAAGCTCCCATTGAATAGCAAACTACATTAACAATATCAAAAGCTGATCATATTTCCTGAGCTTTTACTGTCAGACATTGTTTTTAGGTATGATATAATATAATCCTCTCAATATCTGGTATAGTGTGGATGGCTGCCGCTCCAAGTCTCTTGCTGAAATGATATCCTCAGTCTTGGAGGTGGGGCCTGGTGGGACGTGACTAGATCATGGGGGTGGATCTCTCATGAATGGCTTGAGTGCTCCTTCTATTAGTTCACTAGAGGGCTGGTACCTCCCTCTCTGTCTCTGGCTTCTGCTCTCACCATGTGACACACCTCCTCCCCCTCTGCTTTCTGCCATGATCGTAAGCTTCCTGAGGCCTCACCAGCTGAGCAGATTGCCAGTGCCATGCAGAACTATGAACTAAACTTTTCTTTATAAATTACCCAGCCTCAAGTATTTCTTTTTTCTTTTCTTTCTTTTTCTTTCCTTTTTTTTGAGTAGGGGTCTAATTCTGTCACCCAGACTAGAGAGCAGTGGCATGATCATAGCTTACTACAGCCTTAACCTCCTGGGCTCAGGCAATCTTTAGCTGAGACTATAGGTGTGCACCACCATGCCTGACTAATTTTGTGTGTGTGTATGTGTGTGTGCGCGTTATGTTGCCGAGGTTGGTATTTCTTTGTAGCAACATGAAAGAGACAAATACAGTATCCCCATAAGATTCTACCATTATGCTCATTTTACAGATACCAAAGGGAAGTTAAGGCATTTGCCCAAACTTACACTATTAATAAGCGGTAGATTCAGGTTGGAACCCAGGCAGTCTGCATATGCTTGTAACTGCTATAAGTATTTTCTCTTGTAAATCCTGTTCTCTGTGTTCTTATTGCAACACCAGAAAGATATAATATACAGTTAAAGCCAGCCTTAGGCAAACCCAAGAGTCTTCTTTTTCAGGGACGCTTCACCCACTCTTAGTCCTTCCTAGGAGGAATGCAGGACTTTGTATTACTCTTACGATGACTACAATCTTTACTGTGACAATGAACCCTGGGGTATTTCCTTCTCTCCACTCTTCAATGTCTTACTCTCATAGAAACAATATTGCCCTGTGTCCTACTCCCTTAGGGACCTGTTTTCTTCTGGGGATAATCCTAATAATTAATCTATGTTTTGATATCAAGAGTTCTTAATGTGTTAGCCTTGATGGATAACACATGTGTTTTCTTAAATCAAAGACATAACAAATGGCAGAGATTTCAGACACTGAGGTGGGACAATTTAAGGGAGATTTCTGGACAAGCATGACTGCAGGCCTCTCCAAGCACACCTGTGCCACACAGGCGTGTCCTGCATCATTCTCCTAAGAATGGCCACAATGACAGCAGCTGAGCTCAGTGAGCACTGATGATGTTCCACGCAGTGTTGTAACAGGGAGCTCACCCTCACTCCTGTCGACATGTAGTAAACATGGTGGTTAAACATGCAGTTTAATCATCCCAACAAACCCATGAGGTGAGTACTATTATCACCCATGTTACAGATGAAGAAATTAAGCCACATAAAGATTGTAAATTTCCATAAATAAACAAAAAAGGAGCCAGTTAATGGCAGAGCTACAACTCTCAACCACACATGAAACTGTCTTATGATATACACCTGGAACAGTGCCTGCCACACAGTATATGCTCACTAAGTATCTGCTGAATGAATACTGCTCCATGCATAATGCCAGTCTAGTAATGGAGATGCAAGTCTGGGGGTGATATTTAATCCTTAAGGTTCGTATGTAAGTCTCTGAGTACATAATTAAAAATTGTCTATATCAAGCATGGGTAATTTACTGCAAATGCCTAGGAAGATCATGATAGTGTTGATGTCTGCATTTAATCACCCTATTTCCTCACTGGGCTTTACCAATTCAAACCACATGGCAGGTAAAGGAAGGCTTGCAGCCGATGCCAGTACTCAGGCTGGGTAGTTGACAGGTAGTATGACTAGAAGGAGCACTGCAAAGCAGTGCCTGGCTATATGTTTTATTTCATTCTTTGTTGACATGGCACTCTATCGCTTTTAGTATACCACTAAGCACACAGTAATGGGAACCGCAAAAATCCTGCCAAAAGATAAAACACAGGTATGACTATATTTCAAAAAAAAAAACAAAAAAGGGGGCATGAATGTGAATTTCATCCCTTGGAAGTAGCCAGCTGAGTCTGCATGAACCTCCGCGGCTTTCTTGGAGCAGATGGGATCTTGTTTCTGTCAAAACAGAGATGAGCAGGAGAAGTAGCTGGAAGTGGGTCTCACTGGGCGAGGCTAGGAGATTGGAACACTCTTCCTACAAACTACTTTCTTTTACTATCCAATGAGAGAAAAGACCGCAGTCTTTGCTTTGTTGTGAAGAATGCCAAGAGGACTAATGCTATGACAGCGGCACAGTACGGCACTCAGAACCAACAGCAAGAGCACACGCTGATGCGAGTACTCTCCCTGCCTTCTGCTCTGGGAAGCAGTCGTGGGGCTTTCACCCCATGCTTCTTCATGGGACTCAACACGCATCCACTGCTGTTCCATGAGCCACACCTCAATGGGAACTCTTACCCAGAGCCACCTGCCAGGGACAGTTGATGCGGTTCTTGGTTTTGCCCTCTGGACCTTCCACAATTGGATTCAAAGTGTATCGAGGGCAGTTGTGTTGTGTGTGTATTGGGAATTCGACCACAGAGAGTCCCATAAGTGCTGTAAAACCTGCCATGAAGGGAGGTATGACAAGGGGAAAAGTAATTTTGTCCCATGGTGATTTTTAATGGCTGAAACTACTGAGCAAGCTGACTGTTCATTAAACAATGCTGACTTAACCAACTTAGTCTTTGAAGTGAGTATCTATAACCATTCTGACTGCAGAGTAATAAAAATTGATTCCAGAACTCAATAAGCAATATTTTCTAAAAACCTTTCTGATAAGTGGCTGTAAACCACTTATTTCTCCAACTGTAATTTCTTTGCATCAGATTTAAGATAGTTTCATCAAATAAGAAAATAACTTAAGTGACAAAGTAAATGCTTTGGGCACAGGTAATTTCTAGTGACATAGAACAAGATTAGTGTGTTTGGTAGAATAGCTTAAAATGTGATTGTATAGCTTTCAAAATTCACTTGATGCTCTTGGCAAATGCTAATATTGCCTCCAATTTTCATATTAAATTCTGAGGACTGTTCTCTTCAATTTATGAGGTTTTCAGGACAAACTTGTCTTTGAAAAACAGCTCTGATAAAGGGATTTAGAAAACTAAGAGCAACAGTAGTAACAAAATTAGATAGTACTGTCGGCTTTTAAAAACTTTTCATTTACAGAAAGAGAAATCCTAAACCTCACTTATGGATACAAAACAAACAAACAACAAAGATGAAAAGACCTGACACTGAGGGGGATGGGAAGGTGCCATGACGCTTGTGCCTGCAGTTTTTCAAACATCTATCCTTGCATTCTTCCTCCAGGCATGGTATTTCATTCTTCCAGCATTGTCTGTGATAGCTCATGGTCAACAGGTCAACTGTTTTTCACTATTGTTACATGGTATAAGACTTCTGAAAGGACTGCATAAAGGAGACAGCAAGTTTATACTGAGTAAAGCTTAAAAATTGTCAAAGCATTATGAAGATCTTGCACTTGTATCACTTCTAACCTAATCAGCACTTGGAATGTGAGATTGTCAACAAGGAAAGTTGGGAGTTGGTTGCCATGGCTGGTTGGTTCTCGGTGTTTACCTTCTGTCACTCTCTGGATGTGTGGCTTTAGTCTTCCCCCATGTTCTAGCACACCCATGGCATACACAGGAAGTCTGAAGATTCATTTTGCTAAAGTCAACACACACACACAAACTGACTTGTACTTGCCATAGCAAATACTATGATGTATCATTTAACCTTTGGGGATGAAAAACTTTTGTTTTAGAAAATTCACATTACAAGGCAATGTTTTCTTTCCATAAGCTAACCAGAATGGAGCTGAGGTGATGCACTGGCACAGAGAAATTAACATGCTGACTGTTGCTGGCTGCTCTTCTTTATGGACCCTGAACATCACCCATGGACATAAACAGAGCTTAGAGGAGTCCTTGAAGAGCACATTCATGCCCTTCTGAAACGTGAGCATGCACAGTCTGAAATAGAGCCACGTGAAAAAGACCTGCTAAGAAATACTGCAGAGTCTCTCTCACAGGCAGACACACCCCTGCAACTATTCCTATCTATAATAATAGCAGCCAGTGTTTCCAATACTAGATTGCGAAGTACTATTTTCAGCACATCACTTTTAATAACTCTTTAATCTTCAAAAAACTCTATGCAGTAGGTACTGCTATTTTTTACATGTGAAAAAAAGAAAACCAGTAAGAGATAGGCTGAGTACCTTGTTCAAGGCTACACAGACATTACTTGACCAAAGCTAGACTCAAGCACAGAGCATCTGATTCCAGAGCCCAGGTGGCCTCATTCATGTTCTCTGCCTGCTGAAGTCAGTGGCATGGCATTGTGATCCTATCAGTAACCTTTTCTCACATACTCTATTGGTGATGACAACGAGACATTTCTGGGGCATTTTTCAAACAATTCCAATTTTGGTTTATGGCAAGGAAAACTATATAATCTAGCAACCAATTTCAATCACACTGTCAAAATATTAAACTGCACTAAATATCTTTACTAATAATATTTGAAAAAATAGTGGAGTGTATGTAAGTAAGCCCAAACATTTATCATTGATTGTAGGATTATCCCACAATTTCAAATGTTACAGCTGCTAGTTATCAAATATCAAATGAATGCGATCACATTTGGCAAACTGCCATTCACTATATAATTGTAGGACATTTTTACTGTTAAACTTTAATTCTGCACTGTAACAAAATATTTTGAGGATTTAAGTCTATTTTGGGATACAAAATATTGTTTAAGTTTTTCTTTGGTTCAAATGAGCAGAAATTATTTTGGGTGAACTTTGATTACCAAGAGTTTTTAGGAACAAATAAATGAGTCTCATTCCTTTGGATACAAAACATCTCGCACCACTCTTTTTTCATATGAATTGCTTCTCTGCTCTCAATGTCTGAACACATTAAGGTTGGTATTTTGCATAAAACAGAACACAGGGCCAGGCACAGTGGCTCAAGCCTATAATCTCAGTAATTTGGGGGGATGAGGCAGGAGGATTGCTTGAACACAGGAGTTTTAGGTAACATAGTAAGACCACGTCTCTTCAAAAGTAAAAAAAAAAGCCGGGCATGGTGGTGTATGCCTGTAGTCCCAGCTGCTTGGGAAGCTGAACAGAAGGCTTGAGTCAGGAGGTTGAGGCTGCAGTGAGCCAGGATCATGCCACTGCACTTCAGTGATGAAGCAAGATCCCAACTCAAAAAAACAAAAACCAAACAAAAAACCCAACAGAACACAGTGGTAGAACAATATTCTCCTCATGCCTGGAAATATTTCTTCCATCATGAAGTGACAGAGGTCCTGATTTCTGGGTCAAAATTAGAGTCATGAGGAGCAAAAATTGTAAAGTACAACCTCAAAAAGGAAAGAAAAGAGAAAGGCTTTCCTTTCTGTTCCACAATGAACCTAATGGGCTCACTAAGGGAAGCCAAAAGTGGGGAGGCAAAGCATGAGCACATCCTGCAGGTCTCAGCACTGACACTCACGGAAGGCAGGCAAACACTCAGACATGTGCATGTTCACTTAATTTTTGGAACCTTATGACTAGAAGACTGGTTCTCAACCAGGGCAGTTTTTCTCCCCAGGGGACACATGACAAAGTCTGGAGACATTTTTGGTCATCACAACTTGAAGTGAGGGTGCTACTGGCTATGGATCCTATAATGCACAATGCAGCTCCTCACAATGAAGCAGCATGCGGCCCAAAAGTAGAGCCCAGGTTGAGACCCCGGGACTAGAGGAGTTGACTTCAGGTGGGCCTAAAATCTAGGCCTACAGGAACAGTGACACATCTGTGGAGGTGACCCTTGATTCATTCATTCTAACAATTAGCACTAGGAATGTGTGGAGGTTAATAGTTACATGCACCTGCTCGTGAGGTGCAGCCAGATTTTCAAAAACAGTTGGGGAGAACCAAGTAGCTACAACCCCCTGTCCCATCCCCAAAAACCAGAATGGAAAAAGAAGTTTCTTATACATCGGATCCTAATCCCAAGTGGGGAGAAACTTCAACAGTGGATGCTTTCATGGGAATGTGAAGGTCAAGAAGCCTTCCCTTCTCGCTAGGATCACCACCATGTAACTCCATGTTCTGCACAACTGTCTTTGGGTAGTGAGTTGTATTCTTATTCCATATTGAAGAAATTTGCCTTCATCTGGTTTGGTTATCTTCCCAAAAATCGTATCACCATCCTATCATGACAAAGTGCACTGTCGTATAATAATAATAATGATAATGATAATAATAATAATAATAAAATCCATTTATTTATTCTCTCTGAAGTATATTCCCCTGAAAATAATGTGGCCTTCCTTTTTCATATTTTCTTTTCTCTGCTGCTTCTCAGCATTTAAACATGCATCTATCTTATACTGATTTGTATTTTTTGGTAATTATTCTCTAGTTATTTCACGTATTTTGCTTATTCGATTCTAGATGAGGGCAAGAACTTTATCTTCAATCTCCTTTGAAATTCTCTCTGCACCTGGTATAATTCTGAGCATATTTAACAGCTGGTTGAATGAACTAACCAATAATATGTGATAAATGAGAGAACAGAATGAAATCCACAATAAATATTTTTATACTGATATCCTACAGGGCATATAAGGCTAATGGGACCAGTCATAAAAAACACACACACACCAAACTCATAACACATAATTATCTGCAACAATTAAACTCAAACAATGATTGTGATATTGTATTACTTAGATTTAGTAGTTTCTTGCTTGGTAGAAATGTAACAGAACTTGAAAAGGAATTACATTTATTCCTTCTTCTTTGCCAAAAGCGACCAAGTGAGGCAAAATGTGGGTATTTAAGCCTCAATATCAGTGCACTAGTGTGTAGAATTGGACAGATTCTTGTTACATATTAACTATATGCAAAATTAGAAGGTATTAAGTAAGTCTTAATTACTTACAATTTCTGTTAAATGCTGTGAAAAGCCAAGTACTTTAAACAACTCCAGTAACTGGAGTCAGTAGAGATGTATTCAACCATTGCTTGCAAACAACTAAATACTCAGTGTACTCAAATAGCACAAAAGGGATCAACACTGGTTTCAGGTACATTGCACCTCAGTCACAATAACTAGTATTAAAAACATACAGACACACAAATAATCATTGTCTTAGATGACCAAGAAGTATTGGTTACTTAAAAATGCCCTATTGACACTTACCTGGGATGAAAAAGTACACACTAGAAAGTCTGCCTGAGAAAGAAAATGTATATCCAGGATCACACCCCGAAGTGAATTTTCTGTGTATCGATTGTGCAGTCCAGCTGACCAAGAGATGGAGTTATCACTAATAAATTCATAATTGGGGTACCTGAAAAAAGAAACAGATTTACACATGTTCACTGAAATCACAGTATTCTATCATGAGGCAGAGTCACTTCTCTGATCAAGAACACCTCCCTTTCTAACAGTAAAGACACCTTTAATTACATTTAATAGTGTAGTTGATGGGGCATCTCTGACCCCATCAGTGGGGCAGAAACCATTCTGGAATGCCCCGTATATTCAACATTATTGGCATAGCATATAAAACACACATTACACATCAAAATGTCTTTTATCAATTCATGAACATGTTGAAAAACTGAAGACTCCTTTATTCTCTTTTTTCTAAGATGGGCAAATATCGTTTATTTAGAAAGTAAATGAGACAGGGAAAGAGAGAGAGACAGAGAGAGAGAGAGAGAGAGAGAGAGAGACAGAGAGACAGAGAGACAGACAGACAGGAGAGTCATCTCCCCAAGGTAGGGGAGAGGGCCAAAGCTAGGAAAACATGGCTGCCATAGCTCAAAGAGCCACATGACCAGATTGGAGCTTAGCAAAGCAACGGACCCCCTATTCTCTTTGTAATGAGTGACTTCTAAAAGTTGATTAAAACTGCTTTTATATCTGGCCACTGAGCTTTTCCTTTAGAATATAAATATCATGACAGAACCTCATTTAAATTCTTAATTTAGAATTTATTATAATTCGGATTTGAGTTAGACTTCGTAAATATCTTCTTCATTGCTATTTCAAGTTAATAATAGAAAGAAGAGAGGAATATTTAAAAAATCTGTGCGAACCAACAGTCTCCCCTAACTCCCATTCTTCCTGAAGAACCATCTACTCCTAACAACAGTAATGGAAAGGCCACACAAGTACATGTACAGAAGCAAAGTCCTTGTAGCTTTCCACCAAGAAGTACTTTTAGTAGTTTTGCTTGAGTTAGGATAGGTGTTTAAAAGTATCAAAACAGAATGTCTTTTAAAATGTCTGTTTCATGTTCAAATGATTTTACTCTGAATTAGAGGCTTAACTGTACTCAAATATAGACTGAGTCATTTTCTCAGTGCATGAGGCAGATTTTCAGAGAGAGGGCGCAAATCTTGGGAAGTGACATAAAAAGAGGATAATAACTGTACCACTTCATATAAATTCGTAAGAATCGATACATTAAGTGATATGAAGCACTCAGACAAGTACTTATATATCAACGCTCAACAGATGTTAGCCGTGATTATTAAACATTCTTCCCTTAGACATCCACCTGCTCTGCCCCTGACTTCCTTCAGTCACTGCCGATCAGTGAGGAGTGTGGCAATCCCTGTGCTTTCTACCTTCTCATTGTGCATTTACTGTTTGTTCACTGCCTGCCTCCATCACCCCCTAAGGGGAAGAGAGGGAGGCACTTGTTGTGCTTTGTTCACTGTATTCTTCTCGGCGCCTAGAAGAGAATCTGGAATAGAACAGAAGGTGAGTGAATATGTGCTGAAAGAACAACCGTTCCTATTTAGAAGCCCTGGGTCACTAGGAGTCAGTTTACACATCTGTTTTCCCAACATACTCCCTGAGGTCAGGACCGTGCCTTCTTTTTCTTGCATCACAACACCCAGCACCCCACAAAATCTCCTGTAAATAAACACACAAACACATGAGGGCTACTGATGTCTGGGGCACGAAGGGCTTTCCTCTCAGTGGCTCTCTAATAATGACTGGGGAGGCAATGTTTCTGAGCACTGTTTCGGATAGGCTCGGATCTCTTTGGCCTCATTATTTTTAACAGTTTGCCCTCCCTCAGCTCAGAATCAAGGCGATGAAGAAAATGTCACATTTGTTCTAAAAAGGAGCAAACCAGAAATACTTGTAAGGTGATTCCCCTGAAGCCGCATACCCAGGTGTGGGGCAAAAACAGCAACAAATCAAAATAAAAACGCTGGAGGGAGCAGAAGGGGAATTGACAGAGCCAGGACTCGATGTATCCTTGAGTAAACAAACTCTGTCAGCAGGGCTTGAGTTCTCAGTGAAACAAAGACAGGAGTGATCCCTCTGCTAAGACAAAACAATAAAATGCACAGCCTTGCCAGCTTCATAGGCCCTCTCTAAAACCAAACCACAAGGGTGGCCAAGTTCCTCAGGTTTATCTCTATATGCAAAAGATGGCTTCATGAAGGACATCTGGCGTGTAGAAAACAAATGAAAACAATACAAAAGTCAATAACGGGAGAAGATTACACCTTTAATAATGGGTATGGAACTTTCTGTACAAACAAGCTTCTTGTCTTTTGCCCTCAAGTATGTCAGTAGAGGAATTCTTCTACTCTGAGGTTTCAGAGATTGGCAATAATATTTTTTTTTCTTTTTCTATCTTATAAAATATTTATTTTTATATCACCCGCAAAGGACTAGCTTGCAGTTATAAACTAATATCAAATGTTCTTTCTGAAGTCTTTCTCCAGACTGAAGGAGACACTCCTCTTGGTGATTTCACTGTACCTGGTATATGACTCCTTCAGGACACTTATCCAATGACACTGTAATTATTTGTTATATGTACACTGCCTACACATACAGACATACCCCCTGAGGTAAGGAGTCACACATTTTCTTGTATTTGTCTTTGTAATCCTAGTTCTCTGTACTGAGTCCAGCATATTAAAAGTAAATTATTGTTCAATAAAACAGTGAGCAAATATACCACTCATTGCTGATTCTTCAGTTCATGGGTAACCAGTTTATGAAAACTTTTAAACAAATGTTTCTTATCTTTATTCATCTCAATTTATCTAATATTAGGAAGAGCAGCACTTTTTTTTTTTTTGAGGTGGGGTATTACTCTGTTGCCTAGGCTGGAGTGCAGTGGCATGTGTCAACCTGTTGGGCTCTGGTGATCCTTCTGCCTCAGTCTCCCAAAGTGCTAGGATTACAGGCTGAGCCACCAAGCCCAGCGTACTTTTTAAAAATAAAGAATAAACTAAATATGTAAATATTTTACGTGGGAGAGTTTATCTTGATCATCTTAGAATACAATACTGAATAGCCAACATTAATAGTTCTTGTTTCTTTGACTGACAATAATTCCGTGATTTAAACACTCTAATACTGAATTATTTAAGATGTTGTCACATTAGTAATGGCTGCCACTGGGATGCTAGTGGTAAAATCTTGTGGATAAACTCATTCTTAACCTAGAGAACTCTGAGCTATAAGACCAAGCCACAAAGCATTAACTGCCCATCCTTATATAACAGCTATGTGTATGAGGCTAATTTTGACCCCTTTTCAAAGAATAAGCTACCCAGAAAATGGATTCTTCTTTGTGTGAACTCTGTACCTCATTAATTCTTAATCTCTTCATCCTCTTGAAGAGAAAAGTCTTATAGTGACTGCCTCGGACATTATACACCTGTTGAGAGAGTCATACTTCTGGTCTCCTAAAACAATGGCAGAGGTTTTATGACTTGCTTAGGTACCAAAACCAATCCTGAGAGGTCTAAAGCAGAGTCAATTCGAGTGGGAAAACATTTAAGTAAAATAATAAAGAAAAAAAGGGCATTTACATTCCTGAGAATATCTTTGAAATGACTTAGGCAATTAAAAGGATTTCCAAAGAGAAAAACATCATGCATAAAAGGTTAGTACTATGTTTATAACAGAGTATGGAGAAATCTGCTGCCTGGACTACCACTGGGAGAGGAGGTATAGCTGCAGACTCCAAAGGGGAAATTCCAGGTTGACTAGTCTCGCAGTCCAAGTAGATACCACCAGCTATACTATATGGGTGGTTGGGTGTAAAAATGTCATGCTATGCTATGGATCAAAGTTATAAAATGTTTACATGCCTTTATTTAAATACTTCCAAATCTAGAAATATAGCTTAAGGAAATAACGTGGATAGTTTTAGGCATATTTCACAGCATTATTTACAAGAGTAAAAAGTTGAAAATAACCTCACTGTCCAATATTAGGAGAACAGTTGGTCAAGTAAGTGATGGCATACCAATATGGTAGATATGGAGTCAATGAAAAAGATGTTTACAATGGCTATTATAGAGACCTGGGGAAATGGATCTATTGCTGTATTAAGTGAAAAGCATTCAGATTTGCTTAATGATGGGGATATGTTCTGAGAAATGTATCATTAGGAAATTTTATCATTATGCAAACATCACAGAGTGTATTTTAAAATCCTGGATGCCAGGCATGGTAGCTCACACCTGCAATTTCAGCACTTTGGAAGGTGGAGGCAAGAGGGTTGCTTGACCAGCCTGAATAACTTGGTGAAACTTTGTCTCTACAATAAACTTAAAAAAAAAAAAAAAAAAGAAGTTAGCTAGGTGTGGTGGCATGCGCCTGTAGTCCTAGCTACTCCGAGGTTGATGCAGAAGGATTGCCTCTAGCCTGGGCAACAGAGTAAGATGCCAACTCAAAAAATATATAAATAAGTAGATAGATAGATAGATAGATAGATAGATAGATAGATAGATAGATAGATAGATAGCCAATCTGGATGGTATAGTCAACTATGACACACACAGGCTACACACACACATACTCCTAAGCTATATGGGATAACCTATTTCTCCTAGGCTAGAAACCTGTACTGCAAGCTATTATACTGAATACTGAAGGCAATTGTAACACAGTGGTGAGTATTTGTATATCTAAACACAGAAAAGGTGCAATAAAAATATGGTATTATAATCTAAGGGACCACCCAAAAGAGGGCCATCCTTGATGGACCTTGGTGTATGACTGTATTTAAAAAAAAAAACTGTATTAAAAAAGGAAACTATATCAATGAGGTTGTAGATAATAGGTTTTTTCTTGCTTGGGTATTTATCATCTTCCATATTTTCTAATGAGCATGAATTATTTTGCTAATCAAGGAAAAAAGAAAAAAAAAGCTTGCAATGGATTAAAAAACAAGTGGAAGAGTAGACAAAATTATTATCTTTTTCTTCAAGCAAGGCACCAATTCAGTCTGGTATTTAAAATGAAGAAACATGGTAAACTATTTCAATTCCATTTTTCCTACTAGGTCTGAACATTAAACTGGAAAAGTGCTTGTGAAGATTTTTTATTGTGTTTTGTGTCCACATGTTCACTTAGTCCCTACCCCTTACATGACCTCATTCTTATACCTGGCTGATACATGCATACATACACACACACACATATGCTAGTGTACGTATGCTCAAGAGAGAGAGCCATGAAAAAAAAGGCAATTTGCATCATGTTAGGTTCTTAGGAGATAGAAAGAGGATTTAAATAATTACTCAATGACTTGAATACTTGCATTATAGTCCTCATTCTAAATTTCTTTTCCCTGCTCCCATTTGTGACTAGAAAAGGAAAGAATACTGAGGTGAGTGGATTGCCTGAGCCCGCGGGTTCGAGACCCGCTTGGGCAACTTGGTAAGCCCTCATCTCTACAATAAATAAAAAATTAGCCGATGTGGTAGTGTGCGCCTGTAGTTCCAGCTACTTGGAAGGCTGAGGTGGAAGGATCGCTGGAGACCAGCAGGTAGAGGCTGCGGTTGCCGGGAGTGGTCACTGCACTCCAGTCTGGGTGACGGAGTGAGACTCCAACTCAAAAAAAAAAAAAAAAACAAAAAAAAAAAAAAAAAAGGAAAGAATAAATACACATTAACTAAACAACCAAACTGCTTAAATGATTAGCTGCGAATGTTTTCAAACAGATGGGCTTGAAATCAGCACAATTTACTATTTCCCGGCACTTGCTGGAGTGAAGTATCATGTTCACAGGGCTATGTCCTAGTGAAGAAGAGAGAAGTGGCGAGTGCAGATACTGCAGCAAGGGAGTGCAGAGGAGGGCCACCACCAGCCAGGGCTCAGGGATGACTTCCAGAAGAGACAGCATCTGAGCAGAGCTGAGAAGATAACTGTCCTCTCCCTCATTCCCAATGTTCACATACATTTAATACAGCCTTTATTACTGACAGTAAATAAAGGTCAGCTCCAGGTTCACCCAGATGCTAGGGTAAGAAACGTCCAATCAGGATCAGTGCATGGTCTGTGTGTTTTCATCACATACCGTGCTAACCCTAAAGTAGCATTCCTCACTGTGGTGTGTCTATACTGCCTACTAGACACGGGAATTCTTGAGTGCAGGAAGCATTGTGCTTATCATAGAATTCCAGCTCCTAGCACAGTGCCTGAAATACAGGCAGGCTCAAAAAAGGAGGTCACTGTCATACAAACTAGCAGTCTTTATTCCTCCACTTACAAAACTCATCTTTTACTTATGTTGCAAACCTTCATTTGTACCCCACAGCTCTAAAATAAAAATAAAATACAACAAAAAACCCAATCTTTTGATTCTTTACCTTTCTTTAGTGTAACTTCCAAATTCTAGAAACTTTTATAAGACAAAAAACTCTATCTACAAATGTGTTCTGTCACCTGTAATGGTTAGTGAAGACAGTGAAATCAGAAGGGTAAGCAACTAGTGTGTTTTATTGCTAACAGTCCTGTATATACTTGGTTAGTGTTATGCACTGATTGCTTAATGTCTCTGCCTCCCTGTTAATTCATATGTTGAATCGCTAACCCCAACGTGATGGTATTTGGAAATGGGGCTTTTGGGAGGTAATTAGGGTTAGATGAGGTCATGAGGGTGGTGTCTTCTAAGAAGAGGTACCAGAGCACTTGCTTTCTGTCTCTCTGACATACAAAGAAGAGGCTGTGTGAGCACACATCTTGGCTTGTGGTGGTTGCCTACAAGCCAAGAGAACATAAAATCTACCTCGCCAGCACCTTGATCTTAACTTCCCAGCCTCCAGAACTGTTGAGAAATAAATTTCTGTCATTTATGCTCCCCAGGCTATGGTATGTCATGGCAGCTTGAGGTGCATAAGTCAGTAGTCTAGTTCATTCTGGATTTCTCATTAGGAGGCATTATCAGATATGGCTAACAAAATACTCTTTGATTAGATGAACAGTTATACAAGTACACAGCCAACTGAATTTTAAAAATTCCAATAATTAGTAATAACATAACAAGAATCACAAGTCATGTGAATTAAGGGTTCTTTCCAAGTGAAAGAGACAATCCCACTCTAGATTCACTAGTTGGTTTAACTTACTTTGTTTTTGCCTCCTTTAATAAAGAAGGGTCATCTGTGGCCAAATACACTCTTTTTTTGTCTATTTGCATTCTGCGTGCGAGCAGCTGAAAATGTTCTTCAACATGCACCATGTACTCCTCGATGGGATGGAAGGCAGCTTCTGTTCCCACTTTGTCTGTGCGTCTGACATGGACTCTGGGAAGAAATGCAGAGTCTGTTGATCATGTACTGATCCACTGAGAGCTTTCAGGGTAATCAATTTATATCCCCACTCACAGTGGCATCATGGGCATTTTAAACCAATTTTTCTTTCATTTTCATCATTAGAAAAAATAAAACATATAGTATTAAAAAGACTCTAACATGTACATTCTGAATATATTTGCAGGTTAAACAATACAAAAGGAGTTAGGAAATAAGTAAAGCCTTTGAAGACTGCTTTCTTACAGAGAAGTGATTGGTGTATCAGGAATAAACAGGATGTTCCAGAGATGTACTTCACGATAGGCAGCAACCAGCTGTCCAGAAAAGCCTGTGCATAACTTTCAAGATTTTTGTGACCAAAATGATACCAGGAGTCACAGTTGTTATTCTAGAACATTAGAGATACTGTTTGTAAAATTCTGACGCCATATTTTTCTTTTCCTGTAGAGCCTTTACCCTGTAGAGTTTTACCCTGTAGAGCCACTGTAACTGCCGGCCTGTAGAGTTTAAAGTTGTCCAAAGAAAACAGCTCCGCGTGAACTCTTCCTACAGTAGTCAAGGCAGGTAGACCATTCAAGGGTTCTCACTACTTTAAGTAAGTGAAGCTGTTTCTAGTCCTTTTGTTGTGTGCATAAGAAATTTCCCTTTTGTTTTTCACTTTATCAAACACAAGCAGATATTGACCTCATCCGTTCTATTTAGGAAAAGCCCCAGAATTGTAGAATTGGGGACAAAGATGAACACTGTCCTATGTGGATAAGGCACTGCCTTCCCAGCATTCTCCTCTCCTCTTTGTGCTTCCAAAGTAATTTTAACAGAAATAAGAACAGTCATAGTTTGTTTTCATACACTGAAAGACTCGCCTTAAATCTGCCCTCCCTCTGCCCTCAAACGAATAAATCACTATTTGTATGCAGAAAAAGGTAGATTTGTTTCTTTTAGGTCACAGCACATGGGCATGCCTGAGGCCAAGCCTGAAACCAGTCATTTATTGTGACCCTGGAGTGAGGGCTGTTACTCTGCCACCTTCATGGTTCTTCTCTCCTTTGCATTTCAGACTGTAGTCTAGATGTAGACATTATTATCTGATCACCTACTCTGTCATCTTTTCCTTCCCACAGCCTTCTTAATCACCCTTTCTCTGGGGAAACTGAATTGTTCAGTGTACTCTCTAGAGATGAAGTGGGGCAGAAAGAACAATCCCACTGAATTTCAGTGAAAACGTTCATGAGTAAGAAATACTGTTTGATATTCTCATTTTACATGTTCTTTCTTTAGCTCTAATACTTAGAATAGGGGTTGGCAACTTCTCTACAATAAAGATTAAGACACAGAAAAGATGTGGGGTGAGACACATGAGAACAAAAATAAAAACAAAAGAAAACTGTAATAATAGGAGGGAGAGCCAGAGGAAGAAGAGCACTGGTGGAGATAGCAGTCGAGCACTACGAAGCAATTTTCTCAACTATTGAAAGTGAACAAAGACCAGTCTCCCTGTGCCCTAAGTTGAACTCCAGAACCTCTGTTCTTTGGTGGAGCTATAAAAATTAAACTGTATATTGTAAAGTTCACAAAACATTGTAAAGGTACATAACCCTGCTACTACATATCACTGTTTGAGGAAAAAAAATACAACTCTTACCCAATAACTGGATGCTTGAAGCCAAGCTTCTTGGTGGCCTCTTCTATTTCTTTTTCTAGCCAAGGCTGTGGACGAATCAAGTATTTGACAAACTGGGACACCCACCACACTGCAGGATCACCATGTACTCGGACAAGTCGGTCTGCGAGGTCTTCTGGCACAGCCAAGGGTAAGTATGGAGGCCGGGGGTGAAGGCTGTCCACAATGGGGAGTTCGACCACTTGCACATTTTTGTCCTTCACTTCACCTGACAGATGATCATCAAAATATCATCATTACACACTGTATTCTTCCTACAGCTATCATTCAACAGGCACTCACTTTGGGTACCCCTCCTCACAGCAACTTGAAAGCAGCAGCATCATTTTTACTCTACAGAGCAAGTTTAGTAACTTGCCCACAGTACCAAAGCAAACATAACCAAGTGGAATTTCACATGCATGTTGGTCTGGCTCTCAAGTCCACAGCCTTTTCTAAAAATTTCTATCCCACATGCTGTCATATCAACACCTCACACCCCCAGGAAGGAGGATACGTATTCAGCACTCAAAGTGTCTATTCAGAGAACAGCCATATTGACAGCAGAACACAGCCAACCAGCAAAGGTCTGTTTTGTTATTATAGTTTTGCAATTAGACAATAACGTGTTCTCAAAACTTCCAGCTTGTCATTATAGCAAATTGTTCTTGCATTACTTTCATAACAGAGCACAATGACTCTGGGGATACCTAACAATTGTAAGTCAAGCATCTATATCTTTTGAAGAAAAAAATTAGGTAATTCTCAAGTCTTTTTTCTCTTATTCAAAACATACCTATTCTATTTTCAATTATGATAATAATAGAATCTGTGTTGCTTGTTTACCTGGATATTAATTTGAAGGTCAAGCAGAGATTAGATGCCAATTTTTACAGATGACGATTACTTTCAGAATTCAACTTCTAGATACCATTAATGTTGCTTCTGTTCTATCATCTTTATAATGCAATGATAAGAATAATCTAAAATGTGATAAACTCCTAGAGTTTACTTTACATATTAATGCTTCATAATAACTAGGAGACAAAGATAACAGAGATTTCACTATCATAAAATATACTGAGTTAAATTTTCAATTACAAAAATTATTAACCTGAACGTACAAAATGACTCCAGTTAAGATGTTGTCATTGTGCATAACAAATCAGAATCAAAACCACTGAACTATTCAAGAAAGAATGCACTTGTAGTGAACAAACCTAGAATACATTTAAAATGTGTTCACCATAATGAAACTTGGTCTTCAAATTCTGTTTTTCTGTACATATGCAAAATGTTTTAAAATAAATCAAATGGTCTGGGAATGTAGTCAACTACATGGTTATTAGAAAGTCAGTTTGGTTAAAAACCTCTGATTAATATTCTCTCTCTGATATATAAAACATTCATTTCAGGCTTCTTCGAACAAAATTCCTGAAACATGACATCTGTTGCATGAATAAATGGCAATAAAAACTGTACCATCAGTGTTGCAGTTCATCTAGTTAGAAAAGAGTCAGGCACCTTTATCACATGCGCAACTGTAATTAGGAGTGTGGGAGAGAGTGAACTACACTTTTTGAATTAAGTTGGCTAGCTTCCCCTGAGGCAAGGTAAACTGAGAGTGTGATCCCTGAAGTGGAAATGATCAGAAAGGTCGTACATGGATGAGAGCAAAGGAAGAATAAAGGAAGAAGGGACAAAGGTAGTTCTTTTATACAAAAAATAGAAAGACCCTAGCCCATCATACAAAACCATTTAGTTCAGCTTTCCCTAAGCAAAAGCAAAATGAGCAAGGCTGCCCTCCTTTCGCAACTTCTTCTGAACAAGGTTATTCTCAGTGTTCAGTGTGACTGGCTCCAAATTTTATATATATACCCTCCAGCTGCCCCAGGGCCTCAAGTTCCTTAACAGCTTTCAGAAAGAAATGAGAACTATGCCCACACCTGCAAGGCAGAGAAATCAGTCTATTTTTGTTTGTTCTTTGTTCACTTGTCTCTTCCTTCATTCATTCATTAAAATATTTAGTGAACACTACTGATATAGTTTGGCTATTTGTCCCCTCCAAATCTCACATCAAAATTTGATTCCCAGTGTTGGTGAAAGGGGCTGGCAGGAGGTGTCTGGGTCTCTGGGTGGATCCCTCATCAGTGACTGTTCTAGCGGTGACATGTGAGTTCTAGTCCCATGAGAACTGATTGTTGAAAAGAGCCTGGCATCAAACCCTACCCCTCCTTCCTCTTTTCCTCTCTCACCATGTGACTACTGCTCCCCTTCCCCTTCCTCCATGAGTGGAAGTTTCCTGAGGCCTCACCAGAAGCTGATGCTGGCACTAGGCTTGCTTCTTGTACAGCCTGAAGAACTGTGAGCCAAATAAACCTCTTTTCTTTATAAATTACTCAGCCTTAGGTATGCCTTTATAGCAATGTAAAACAGACTAAAACATGGTTCCTGACCTCCAAGTAACAAATTACTCAAGATTTCCAGTTTAAAACCCTCATCCAAATTAGACTGCATTCAGACAAGAAAACAAAATAAAACAAAACACCATCACTAATAAATATGCTATCAAAAATATATTAATATTCTACTGTCTAGTAAAATATTAAGAAAAAGGTATTTACATTTACAAATGAAAAAGCTGGCATAGAATAAAAGCTTATCATTCGCAATAATAACACAAGTCAAAATGAAAGAAAGTAACATAGTACCATTTATGGTAGAAGGTCCCTTCTTTTACTTGGTTTATTACCATAAAACTTTTGTATTCTACTGGAATATGCATTCAAAAGGATTTTAATCTAAAAGAAACTTTAGAAACAATCTTGTTCAGTGTTTGCTAAATTTTAGTCATTGGTATACCACCGCTATGATTTTTAACATATCCAAGTACCATCTGTATTATTTACTATTTAAAAAATTTACTCACTTTTTAAAACTTAAATGAGCTTATTTTATAGATGTTAATTATAAATATATATTCACTGAAAACAAAACTATGTTACTAGTTTCCATATGGATACTATTGCTTATGGAGGACTCTATGCTCAAGCCAGATTTCTATTAAAAGGGAGAGATTATTGGTGAGGCTTAAAGGGTGATCATTGCTTTTCCTCTTATGTCTCCTAAGAGTTTGAAATCAATTGAGAAGAGAGGGGACAATAAGAAAGACAGCAATCAAAATATCAGCTTGATAACCAATAAGAATGAGCTGCAGAATGTGAGTTTGTGGTTTGAATTTACGGCTTCATGGACTTCCTGGGTTCCCACCCTGTCCTAAGCAAAGTTTGTCAACAAAGCCTACTACACCTTGTAAGAAGAGGCCACACCCTGGGAGAAGCCAGAAAGGCTGTGCCTCACATGTTCTGTTCCTTTTCCCAAGATTACCAGTCAGATAATACAACTATTCTCCTTCCAAGTGGAAGGGAAAGGAGGTCAGCAGAAAGAACAGAAAAGCACTTCTATACTTTTCCCTTCTAAGGAATTAACTTCACTTCTGTAGAAACTCTTGAGGAGTGAAGAATTCACTGTACTTGACAACCCTCACCCTTCTCCTACTCCCACCATCAAGCAATTATCCTGCATTAGAGAGCCACTAAGGATGTCTGGATACCAAACTGAGACTTTCTCTTTGACTTAAGCAGACAGACGGAAAAAAGAGTAACTTTCTCACTACGTGATTCAATGTTCATTTTAATGATTTATCAAGATACTACCTAAAATGATCATTTCTATGCCACCAAAAATCATCTCTAGGAATCTTTAGTAGGTTTCAGAGTTTGGGAAACACCGATTTACTTAAATTTTTTCATTTTATAGAAGAAACAGACTAAGAGAGGTCAAGTGAAACTCTCAAAGGTAATAATACTAATAAAAGGGTCAGAATCAGACCCTCGTGTTTAATCATTATTTATACTACATCCTACTTCTGAAACCTACATATATGTTTAATTTATTTTTAATTAAAAATAAATGTGTATATTTATGAGGTACAAGGTGATGCTGTGATCTTTGTATATTCTGTAGAAAGCAATTTTGAAATATACACAATATGATTATTAACTGTAGTCACCATGCAGTATCACAGGTCATTAAAACTTATTCCTCCAGTCTAACTGAAACTTTGTGTCTTTTCATCAACACTTCCCTTTTTTCAATTGTGTCCTACCTGTCTATGGTAAACACCTTTCTACAATTTTTGAGTCTCTTAGATTCCACATATACGTGAGATCATATAGTATTTGTCTTTCTGTGCCTGGCTTACTTCACTGTTAGAACTAATAAACAAATTCAGTAAAGTTGCAGGTTACCAAAAATATATATATATATTAATTATTGAAAAATAAATTAAGAAAACAATCCCACTTACAATAGCATCAAAAAATAAAATAAGAGGAAATACAACACCAGGTGAAAAATCTGTATACTTAAAACTAAAAATACTGATAAAATTGGAAGAATTAATAGTGTTAAAATGTCCATACTTCCCAAAGTGATCTACAGATTCAATGCAATTCCTATCAAAGTTCCAATTTCACTTTTCAGAAAAAAAGAAAAAAAAAATCCTAAAATCTATATGGAACCATGGAAGTTCCCAAATAGCCAAAACAATCTCCAGCAAAAAGAACAAAGCTGTAGGGATCACACTCCTTGACTTCAAAATATATTATAAAGCTACTGTAATCAAAACAGCATGGTACTGGCATAAAAAACAAACGTATCGACCAACGGAACAGGACAGAAAGCCTAGCAGTAAACCCACGTGTTCACAGTCGGTTGATTTTTTTGTTTTGTTTTGGGTTTTTTGAGACAAAGTTTCAATCTGTCACTCAGGTTGGAGTGCAGTGGCACAATCATGGCTCTCCGCAGCCTCGAATTCCTGAGCTCAGGCAATTCTTCTGCCTCAGTCTTCCAAGTAGCTAGGACTAAAGGCATACACCACCAATGAGGCTAATTTTTCTTTCTTTCTTTTTGTAGAGATGGGATCTCACTTTATTACCTAGCCTGGTTTCAAATCCTGCCCTCAAACGATCCTTCTACCTCAGCCTTCCAAAATGCTGGGATTACAGGCGTGAATCACCATGACTGGCCTCAAATGACTTTGACAAAGATACACTGGAGAAATGACAGTCTCTTCAATAAACAGTGTTGGGAAAACAGGATATCCACATACAGAAGAATGAAACTGAACCCTTACCCTACACTGTACACACAAACCAACTTGAAATGGATGAAAGACTCAATACAACACCCCAAAGTATAAAACACCAAGAAGAAAACATAGGGGAAAGCTCCATGACACTGGATTGGAAAATTATTTCTTGGAAAGAACCAAAAAGCAAAGACA